GGACACGACTAGAAATCAGTGGTTAAGTTGTATTTACAACACTCTTCCAGAACAGTTCAAACCAAATATTCAGATGTGTGCAGCGTAATGTGTTTTTTTAACCTTAAACCGCATAAACACATTTCATTACACCAAATACACAAAATATTGTTCTTTTTTAGCAACGTCATATGACCCCTTTAATAACTTTGATGAGATAATTTACTGCTACACGTTTAGAGAAAACTCGTCAGGTTTTTGTTTTTTTTTCGTAACTGGCACACTGTAGAACCAAGCAATATTGGACAGAAAAGACAAACTTGAAACCAAAAATAATTATATACCACTAAGCAACCTCACAATATCCAACCACCCACCTCCACACACACATACACACTATTTCTAATAGCACTGCACTCTTGTCAGTGAGAATCCTCTCTGTGCCTTGCTTTCTTAAAGTAGATACTGAAACTCCTGAGAGATACACTTATGGCATGAAGATTTGTGTGTGTTGTTGTTGTGTGTGTAATGCAAGAGGATGTGAGACGGGGCGAGCTGAGATGTCTGGTGATTTTGGTGATGTACTCATCCAGAGCATAAACAGAGCCATGGATATTTCTCCTTCAGTGCCTTAGGACCATTACTGAAAAAGCGTGGACATGCTTATGCATCTGTGATGAATATGTTTTCTTTACATTCAGGAATGTTGCCGGTTCTAGCCTTGTCCTGTTAACCTGAAGAGGTTTATGTGCAAATGTGTGTAAGTAGAAAACTACATTCTGCAAGGAAAGCAATTCTCTTTCAACAACCAATTCAATCAATATTTCAGACTGCAATGGTCTGCTAGTCAGAACTCATTAAATGGGTGAGTTAATAGTTATTTGGTTTAGACCAAGGATATAGGTTCGGTTATATCGGTATTATTATCGGCTTAAATTGTATCTAATTGTGCTTGCCCATTTACGCTATTTTTAAATTTGCTGTAATCGAAAGCTTGCTTAAATTTAATCTTTAAAAACACTAAACACAAGTCTTAAAATGGATAATTGTTTTTTACACTAAACATTATATTGTTGTGATGGCCAAATGTATTTGCAGTGTTTAAAACTATTGATTTTTTTTAGTTTACATTTTTAGAAATGTAATATCAGTCATATTCGGTTCTCTGACATAACCATAGTTATCGACTTATTGGTATCGACTACAATTTTAAATTCAGTGCATCCCTATTAAAATTTGTAGGGGCATTTTAAAATAAGCCAAGCTATATACACAGATACATATATATGGAAATCTCTAACTTGCCAGTCTGTGTAGGTTGTCACTTAATATAACAGCGGAGAATCTGAACCGTGAAAGTGTATGAATTTTGCTGAAATTCTCATTTTAAGAAGCCATGTGATTCTTCGTGGTGTCGTGAGACAGACCAAAAAACAAAAGGATTTACAACAGTTTTGTAGTTTAGGCTGCATGCACACTAATGCATTATCATGCACCTACAGTATTTTTGCTCAGTCTGTTTACATTCACTTAAAACAACCAATTTCATTTAGATTGATATCAAATTAATATCAAAATGTGCCACTTTTTAATTATTTTCTTGTTAATCACTATGTCACATCAGACCTGCATTCCTGGACACCACGCCAGCAGGAATAAATTGAAAAATAAGTTGGTGTAGAAATGATTTTTGCTCAGAAATGTCTTGTAAATTTGGCAAGGAAACAAGACATAGGAATAGTAGGAAGTATTTTTATGTAAAATACACTCCAGTAATCTTTGCTTTATTCACAAATTTGAACAATCATTGTTTACAGTGTATGCATTTGAAAACATTGCTTGCAGTAACCTTTCCTCACTTACATAAAGTATTGTTTTGAGAGCCTAAAGCAGCACAAAAGACCTGCATCATCGGTGTGAGTGTGAGTGGGACTGCGTTACCTAACTGAACAACCCACTGAATCAGTTTACTTGCGACTTGTGTCTGAACAAGTGTTTTTATAAAAGGAAATCAAATGCTTTCATTTTAAAAATGAAACATGGCACAGCAACAGTCAGTACTTATATTGTGTTTAATCAATCTGAGTACTGTAGCTAGAAATATGGGTAGGGATTAATCACTAGTCTTTGGTAGACTTCCATCTTTACCCAAATCTACACCTCATAGATTACACATAAGACATAACTGATTCATGACCCATTTCTGGATTTCTGAATCCAGAAAATTTGGAATCGTTCCACTCAATCTTTGCTAGCCCTCTGCACTAGATATGTAATTGTCATTCAATCACATATCTAGTGCAGAGGGCTAGCAAAGATTGAATGTGTGACAAAAACCCAGAACCGCTGTTCAGCCTCGAACGATTAAACACAACTCATTCTGAGGATAAATTGCATAGGTTACCGAACATGTGCGGAATACTGCATAGGAAAATCTGCTGAGCGTCAATAAAGTTAATTTGCAAAATTTGAAGAGAAAGAGAGTAATGTAGCCTATACTATGCCTGTCACACATCATAATAAACACACAGATCCCATTGTGACTTTATTAACATAGGGTGCTTTGTATGTATGTGAGTGTGTGAATGAATAGGTGCTTGTATTAAGCTGTGTTGTGATTGAATTGGACAGAATATTTGGAATCGTTCCACTCAATCTTTGCTAGCCCTCTGCACTAGATATGTGATTGAATGACAATTACATATCTAGTGCAGAGGGCTAGCAAAGATTGAGTGGAACGATTCCAAATATTCTGTCCAATTCAATCACAACACAGCTTAATACAAGCACCTATTCATTCACACACTCACATACATACAAAGCACCCTATGTTAATAAAGTCACAATGGGATCTGTGTGTTTATTATGATGTGTGACAGGCATAGTATAGGCTACATTACTCTCTTTCTCTTCAAATTTTGCAAATTAACTTTATTGACGCTCAGCAGATTTTCCTATGCAGTATTCCGCACATGTTCGGTAACCTATGCAATTTATCCTCAGAATGAGTTGTGTTTAATCGTTCGAGGCTGAACAGCGGTTCTGGGTTTTTGTCACACATCTCTGTTTGATTTATAGACTGGTGTCACACGTTTAACCACATGGAAATTTCTTTTCCTTGCAGTGAAAATAAGATCACGCGGGGTTTTTAATGTTATCGTTGGATTAATAATGATTTCTGGCAGTGTGACACCTTCCCAAACCAATTTGTGGGTTTCTACTCTTAGGTGGCTTATCATTCTTTAACAAAACAGCCTGTCAGAGGTGAGTCAGGTTTTCTCAGAGCTGACCAAATTCTGATTCATGTTGCTGGTTCACGTAGCTAGAACTGATATCTGATCACATAAGAGATCTTAAGTAAATGTCCTGCTCATGGTTTGAATGCCTTAAACTTTACTTTTAGATCATCTTCAAATGATGTGATAAGCCTTGTACACATGATCATCTCATGATTACTGCGGGATTTAATTGCCAACTTCAGCTTATTATACACATGGCCAACACATAGTCATCAGCATGTCATTGTGACAGAAGGTACGACCATACTGAGCTTTATTATTTTTTCCTATTCATTTTTATATGGACATTGAAATATACACTACATGACAAAATTATTGGGACATGTGACCATTATACCAACAGGGACTTTATTGACATTGCATTCTAAATACATAGAAATTAATATGGAGCTGGTCCCACTTTGTAGCCATAACAGCTTCCACTCTTCTGGGAAGACTTTCCACAATATTTTGGAGTGTTTCTGAGGGAATTTTTGGCCATTCATCCCCTAGAGCTTTTGTGAGGGCAGGCACTGATTTTGGACGAGAAGACTTGGCTCGCAATCTTCATTCCAGTTCATTCCAAAGGTGAGATCAAGGCTCTGTGCAGGCCAGTCAAGTTCTTCCACACCAAACCCATCCAATCATGTCTTTATGGACCTTGCATTGTGCACTGGGGCAGTCATGCTGGAATAGAAAAGAGCCTTCCCCAAACTGTTCCCAAAATGGTGGAAGCATAGCATTGTCCAAAATGTCTTGGTATCTCTTCACTGGAAGTAACCCCTGAAAATGCCCCCATGCCATTATTCATCCTCCACTAAACTTTACAGCTACAGTCAGGCAGGTAACATTCTCCTGGTATCTGCCAAACCCAGACTCGCCTGTCAAAAAAGCATGATTCGTCACTCCATAGAACACGTTTCCACTGCTCCAGAGTCCAGTAGTGGCATGCTTTACACCACTCCATCTAATGCTTGGCATTGCATTTGGTGATGTGAAGCTTCCATGCAGCTGCTTGGCCATGGAAACTCATTCATGTGACTTTTACGCACCAGGCATGCACCTCAACACCCAGTAACCCTCTGTGACGTCACATGATCTTCTGCTTTGTAGCTTTTATAACCATAGTTTCACAACGACTATCATGGTTAGTGTAGCAAAACCATGGTTAATTTGTGGTTACCATGGTTATCTATAGTAACCATAGTTTTTTGTAGTAAAACCATGGTTAATTTTCATAAGGCTTCCTTACTGTTCTCATAACTTTAGAGAAATTAGAGGGACAACGGTTAGCCTATGTATTCAAATGATTGGGCCAATTATAACCATCCCATTTTAAATGAGTTGAACCAGTATATTTATACAAAGAGCCTATATTATGTTTCAATTGTTGTCTGTTTTAAGACTATGCATTTTCAATGAACGTATTTTGTCAAGCTAAACTAATACAGCCTGCTCAGTGTGTAGGGAGTAGTAGGAACCGCGGGCTGTCTTTCATTGCGCGTCTCAGAGGAAAGAGCGCGAAGGTAACGTTTACTATCCTATTCGTTAATCAGATAGTTAGAAAGAAAGGCTTTCAAAGAAATTCAAAAAACTTGTAGACATTTACAGACGGACCTCAGAGAACGTAGAAGGAGCGCTGCGGCAGGACTTCAGAGATAGAAAAAGAGAGGGAGGGTGCGTGCGTGTGTGTGTGTGAGAGAGAGAGGGAGATAGAGAGAGAGGATGAAAGAGAGAGCAGAGAAGACAGCTGCACGAAACGGGACAGTGTACTCTTGCGTAATCGTTGCTTTGCGCCAAGTAAATGAAATAATAGATTTTTTATTCTCAGGCGGTGATCAAATTATTCAAATATATAAGTGATATACGCTATAAAGTGTGTTCTCAACTAGCTGTGGAGTCTCGTGCAACTAGCTATGCATGATCCTTGCCCATAATACGCTGAGCTGGAAAAGGCTCAACGCAAAGTATGCAAAGCGTAAGTGACCGACTTAAAAGTAAAAGTTATTTTGGATACTCGACTTGAAACGGACTGGTGACTTTGTCTCCCGCGTGATGAAATTATGAAAACCTGCAACTTCAGCTTGGTAAGTTTTTGAAACACCTGACGATATCTTGCTCAGTCTGAATCCGTTAAAATGGGTGCTCAGAATGCAGTGACTCTCGTTTCATTTCTGAACGTTGAAAACATTAATGCGTGTCAGCTGGTCAATTAAAACGTTTAAATGTTTAGTAGCCTACGTTAATTTTGTTAACAAAAACTATCACATTATAGAAAGCTTGTTGTTTTGGGGTAAAAGCTAAATGTGTATGAATTACTTAAGGTGATGTGTTTTTCCTCTGTCCTGAACCCTGTTAAAAATAGCTGTGTTTTGGAACATGTGTGCTGGTTTCTAGCTGGTGCAATGGCCATTAGTTAGTCCGTGCTGGTTTTTTGTTGGTGTAAGATTGTCTATGATCTTGCTACCAGGTAGAAACGGGTATCATGTTTCAAAACACAAATAGCATCTTCAGCTGGAATTTCCAGCAGAAAGGTGCTCTGGTAGCATATCATGTAATCAGTTAGTATCATGATTTATATTAGAAGCTAATACAAACCTGAGGCAAACAGCAGGTAGAAAACAACATCAGCATGAGAAACTCATAATGCACCATCAATAAGATAGTTTATAGATGCATTCCCTGCCCAAAACACAGCCTAAACCGGTTTGCTGTTAATATTGTGCTTGCAGGATTAATTTTAGGCTAGTTTCATTTTTTTTTTTTTTGCATGGTTGAAATTCAAAACTCATAGCACCGAGTCAGACCATGTTTCTTTTCCTGTTTTCTTCCTAACACCCCCCCCACCACATTTTTTAAATGAAGAAAGCCCACTGTGGTGTTAATTAACAGCCTTAATTACTCTTGCGGTGTGATGCTCAATCCATCAAGCTGAGTTTTTGAATGTCTGTGTAGCATCACGCCTGACATGGATGACCATTGTTAAAGGTTAAATGAATTGTTAAATGAATGCGTGTTTGAGTTTTACAGTCTATCAGGATGTATAAACTCTCAGCAGTGCTGTGATAATATATAAAGGGCAGAGCACTACTGGTCACTGTAGCTCGTGGAACGGCAACGTCGTTCAATCACATATGCATAATTGCTCTTTTCTCCTCTCTCACTTTTTTGCCTTTCTCTCGCCTCTTTCCTCCCGCTTTGTCACCCTCCCTTGTCTGACTCTCATGCCAACACACCACACGCACAGCACAACTGCAGTGTGTGAGATGGACAGATAGCTGGTGTGAAAGGGGAGCATATGTGTTGGCTCTTTGAAAGCTCAGCGTGAATCGTCAGCAGAAAGCTGTGACCTCTCCGAGCAAATCCTCTTTCCAAACCTGCCCGAATGACCAGACCTGATGTATAAATGTGAGAAATAATTGCATATAAGCATTCTGAAACATGATGCTTTGTAAGCCTAATCCAGTGGGAAATACAGAGACATGTTAGTTTACTGTGGTGACTCATTGAAAGCATCTTTTTACATTTTTAATTACCACAATGCTGAGTCAAGTTCATTTTTCTGTTGCAAAGGTTTTGATTGTGGGAGGAATATATTCTTCTCTGTTCTTTTGAGATTTACCATGTTTGTTTGTCTCTAAAATCACTTTTCTGTTTAAATTTCAACTCATTTCAGCTTTAATTTAGAAATGTTTTTGGATAGAAACTCACTGTTTAACCTTCAAACATGGTTATATTTTATATTAATACATCATTTAGTTTATTTATTAAGCAGTTTTCCTCTTGCACACCATTTCTATCCATATTCTAGGTGATTTCAGGTTTTACTGTCCTTGTAGTGACATTTGGTATGCACAATGAGGGTAAAACCTGACTCCTCCACACCTATATGTTCCATAGGTATTCTCTAAGGATGGCTGTCCATCTCCAGCTATATGAAATCAATGAAAGAGATAAATTATACTGAGATTAAAGGTAGAAAGCAGAAGATTGGGGAAGGGAGGAGAGCACCTGGCACTTTTTCTTTGCTCAAAACACGAGTGTCTCTCAGTATAAGCTCACAAGTGGTGGAATGTTGCATTTGTGTAACCCTGGCAACATCTCTGGAGAATCAAAGCAATTCAGGTCTTCATTTTAGTAGATAACTAGTCATGGCAGGTAGATGGGGATTTTATATACACGGATTCATTTCATAATCGTTATGGTTTATAGTTATGCTTTTGGGGTTTTATAGTAAGCATCATTACTGATTTTAGGTAATCATATATTGTATAATTTGCTTTACACAGTTTAACTACACACAATATTTATAGATCACATGTCGAATGTCTATGGATGTGCATTAATATATTAATGCATTCAGAATAAAGGGATGGGACGTCAGAATAGGACTGTTAGGTGTCAGTGTGTGAAAACATATGTCATTTTCTTTCCAGTTACATCTACATAAGCCTGTGAAATTGACTTGGCATGAAGAAGGTATTGGGATATTCACTGGTCGCCAGTCCCACACTGATCCTGGATTTAGTATAGAGGGTTTGAGCTTGTCTTCACCCTGTAAATTAGCAAAAGACACTGTCAGCAATACAGATTCAGAGGATGCATATATGCATGTATATGTATTTAGCTGTATTTGTATTTAGGAGATAATTTCAATTTATTTAGTCAGTTTAGCCAGGGATGACCAGTGTAGTCAGAGGTTTGGTAGCAAATTTTACATGCAAATAAATCTATATATATCATTATATTTGCATATGAGATTTGTTTATTTGCTACCAAACCTCTGACTAAACTGGCTATGTGTGTTTGATGAATCTTATTTGCATGTATTTATATTAAATATATAGACTGTAATAGACAAGGTATGTACTAGACAGAGCAGGGAACAACAAGTACATTTTATGCATCTGTATTTTCTGTATGTAGGACAAATTAAATTAGTCTGATTTTTTTTTTTTTTTGTAATTCATCAACAGTATGACTCACAGCTTTTGTGTCTTATTCGAGGTAATTCTGGAGTCCTACATATTAAACTCAACACAATACCAAAAAAACAAAAAAAAACAACCTTCGCTTAATCCCATTGAGATCATTTTAATCTGGGATTTTCTGAAGGAAGAACGTACTGACGAGGCATGCACAATATTCCCTCACAATATTTGTCAGCTGAAGCATCTGACATAGTTTGACATATTTATATTTCTCATTTGCCTTACAGCTGTAATTTTTTAAAATATAACCTTTAAAGTACCCTAATTTCTAATTTCACCTTCTGCTCTACAGAACTCACTCATATTTGTGGATACTATTTTTTCTCTCTCTGTCAATCGTATTTTATAATTGTTTTTCCCCAGTGTGTGAGTTCATTATACTGTAATGGATGATTACATAATATCTATAACTACCTCCAGATCATTAGCATTTACTGCCTCTCTGTTCTATTTCTATCCAGTCATTAGTCAATTTCTACCCATGAGACAAATATGGCACAAAAAAGATTTTTAAAAGTCTGTCTTGACAGCTTTGCTTTGTTGATGTGTTCTGCTGAAGTTACTATGCCTTTTTACATCTTGCTATAATGTGAGGTATACTACCAGGTTTGATTATAGGCTACTTGACTAAATTTATATTCCTGATTATTTTAAAAACAAGTTTGTCAAATGTATTTGTTTATTTTGGAAAACAAAATAAGTTTTTTCTTTCTTTTTGGTGTTCCACAGAGGCTAAAAGATCAACTCATTGACCAAAGACAGTCTGTGAATAATGTGTGCAGTGCTGAGGCTCTTGTAAGGTGACTTCTGAGGGTTTATCTCAGTCTTCTATTGTGCTTTCAACACAGTCATCGCTTTCTAATCATTACAAACAATCTCTGCATTTTCTTTAACTCACACAGGCATGTTCGCTCACACACATAACACATGTGTGTTAGGCATCAAGGATTGTCCCACTTTACTGTTCACTTACAGAATTAAATATATAACACCTCTGCTGTAGCAAGGTCTTCTTCAATTCTAGCTCTCTTTCAACACATCTGATGCAACTTCAAGATGCTTTGCGTAAGCTGGATATCTTTGAGGATATCCTTGCTGAATATGTATGTGTGTGTGTGTGTGTTATAGACAACGTTTGGTGTTAAAGAAAAAATCATTACCCTTTAAAAGGTTCTGTCCATCACTCCCTTGCAGGGTAGAAATAATAGGCCATCTTGGTGGAGAAGCGGCTAAAAGGTTTTTTCTCACTGAGGGCCAGATTGTTATATACAGCAAGAGTTAGTCTTAAGGAGAAAATCCCACAGCATTGTATCTCCACCACCTTGAGCTGTTCAGGTTTGGAACAAGTCTTGACCTTCAAAAGTGGCTTAATTTAAACTCAGGTCAAGTCCAGCTGAATTCATTTTAAAAAAAGACAGGTGATCTTGTTATCTGATTCAGCAGGTTCAGGTTCAGTGCCGGCCAAGCTCTCAGCAGAGATGATTGAATGCTGTTCTTCTGAACTATTAAAAATTCATCACTTCCCAGGTTCCACCATATCACTGTAGACTTTGTGTTCTGTGGAGCCTGACGTGATGGAGGAACTCGACGTGTTCATCAAGCATTCAGAGGTGTCGCTGTGTTTCAAAGCTCCTTGTCTAAAACATGTTTTCCATTATTTTTGAAATGTTGACTTTTAGAGAAGTCAGTGGTTGTTTTTCTCTACACGTGCTTTGAAGATTGAAACGACTTCGAAACATGCTTCAAAGAAAGAAATGCTATGAGTTCATCTGACAAGGACAGATAGCCTTACCTTGTTATGATCTTTATTTCCTTACCGCAGATGGTACAGATTACCTCTTCACCTAATGTGCTTAGATTGGTCCACAGTTTCGTGATTCACCCAGAGTTTCAGTGCTTGGGAGAAGAACAGTGCAGAGAGGCTTAAAGAAATAGTTCACCCAAAATATGATTTAAAAAAAAAATTATCATCATTTACTCACCAACCATCATGTCATTGCAAGCCTGATTTTTTCACAAATCGCAAATTGGCGGAAATAGTTGAAAAATGCACTGAGGGCTGTCAAGTGAGGATGCATGATATATATCTGTACCAT